CCCCCCCCCCCGCCCCGGCCTGAGCTCCTCCCTCCCTTTCCTCCGGGTCACCCCGGCCCTTTCCCGAAGCGGTAGCAGTGAAGGATCCCACCTTCTCCAGCCTGACTGAGAGCCCCTCGGGACGGTGACACTCCGCAGCGACAGCAGGGAAAGAAGCGGACGGCCATACGTGCGCTGAGGACACTGACCACACTGTGCCCGTCTGCACACCGCTGCTTTCCTGCGAGATAACCTCTCCCCTGAGCGACCCCGGAATGACGCCCGTCCTCCAGCGTGCTCGATGCCCCTCCGTCCTCCCCCTCCCCCCGCTTAAACCACCGCACACTTAATTCCTCGTGTCCAATCACGTCCCGCCTCGTCTGCTCCCAATGACCGCCAGCCCCCCTCCTGTCGACCACAGGCTTGACGAGCTCAGAGGGTCCAAGGCCAGGAGCACCTGGACCAGCACAGGCGCCCGAGAAACGTCCGCAAGACCCCACGTCAGACCCCGCACAGGCCTCCTGCGCAGAGTCCTCTAACAATCAACGAAGGGTCCCCGGGCTCGGCCGCGTAGACCCCACTTAACCACGTACCTGGCAAGGCACAGGTGCTCAAGAAACTGGGGCGTCTGAAAGACCGGAAAGGTGAAAGGAGGACGCGGGTCCCTCGGAGGGAGCTGCCCGGCCTCTGCGGAAAGGAGCCGCTGCAGGTCCGGCGCCCCCCGCGCCCCCCGGCGCGCCCGCTCACCTGTAGGCCCAGGGAGACACGCTGCGCAGGTTGGTGGGCGGCCGGAAGCGGCGGTCGGCGGGCCTGCCCCCGGCCGGGCAGCTGGCGTTGCGCGCCTGCTCGCGCGGGCCCAGCTGCAGCGTGTGGTGGAAGGCGCCGAGCACGCCGGCCGCCAGTCGCCCGTACAGCTGCTCCAGGAGCTCCTCGGGCCGGTCCGCGCATCCCCGCGCCCGCGCCGGCCGCCGGCCCGCCCTCGGGGCGCCCCCCGCCCGGCCCGGCGACAGCGCCAGCAGGACGCCGGCCACCAGCGCCCAGACCTGCGGGACAGGCCGCGCTCAGCGCCGCGCGGAGGAGGGGCCCGCGCCCCGCCCCGCGCCCCCGGGGCCCCGCCCCGCGCCCCCCGCCCCGCGCCCCCGCCCGGAGGATGGGTGCTGACCACCGCCCCGAGCAGGGGTCCGCGTGGGCCGCGGGTGCGCGGTGCGCGTGTGCGTGTGCCGGCCGGGCTGCTGCGCCGCGGGCTGCGAGTGCCTGTGACGGCGCCCGGGCCCCTCGGCGGCCCCCGCGTGTCCTGGGCGCGCGGGCCCCACGAGGTGGCCCGGGACGGAGGGCGGCGGCGCCCGGGGACCGAGACGCGGCCGCTGCACCGCGCACTCACCGGCGGCCCCAGCATCGTCCCGAAGTGGCTCCGGTGGTCGCGGAGGCGCGGACACGTCCCGAACGGAGCCGCGCGGCGCTGAGCGGAAGGAGGCGCCTCGGCTGGAAGGGAAGTCGGCCGGGTCCGGCCGCCGCGAAGAGCCTCCCGGACGAAGGCGCCGCGGGAGCGGGACGGGCACCTGGAGAGGCGCGCTGGGCCTGGAAGCAGCTTCTTCGCCGCGACTTCCTCTGAGGGGCTGGAGATAGAGAGCGTTCCGAACGAGGGGCGGGGGCGCGCCTCCTCCCCCCAGACACCAGGAAGCGGTCCTTATCTGCCCCGCTGGCACCTCCGAAATCCAAGCACCGAACATGCTACCCAGCTTGCACTTTTATGGCCGGAACTGGGCATCCTTGGGCGCTACAGGGTCGGGAACTCCTGCTTCGTGATGCCGGGACTGTAAGCGCGCGCAGTCATGTAAAATAAGCCTAATACTTTGTAAATAAAGAAAATATACTTACACGAGGGAATTCTATTTCAAGAACCAAAGCAAACGTGCTCGTTCGTTCGTTCATTCTGTAAATGAATGCTTAATGCTTTTTAGGTGGTGGACTAGTGAATACGGTCATTTTACGGCAGTCATACTTGGCCAATGAAAACAAAAGATTGATAACAGCTGAAAGGTTTTCGAAGGTATAGAAAATACATAATTTATGGTTCTCTAAATGCTTTCCAGCTTTGGTATTTGACTGCCTTGTAAGTCATTGGTTAAACTACATTTCAGTTATGCTGTGTAGAAAAACAACACTTGTATGCCTTGAATATTCTATAACTGAAGAGTTTAGGAACTGTCCTATTGACTGCTCAAAATCCCACAGAAATCTCCAGTTTAAGCCATTTAAGCTATTTACAGCTTGGTGAGTAAAGGTTTGTTTTGAAGTTACAAAACTTCTTCTGATTAGTAGAGAAATTGTGTTCTTTCTGGTAAAATGGGAATAAACATATCAGTACACAAACACATACTGTTTTTTTTTTTAATTTGGTAGAAGTGTGGGAATCCTTTAGGAGATAGCAGTTTCATCCTTTGAAAGGTAAGGCGATAACAGCGCCAGACCGCTCATTCTATATATTATTCAACAAAATATCTTCCATTGTCTGATAACATGGCAACTTCTCTCTCCTCCCGTTACTTGGAAACGAAGGTATTTACTTTCCAAAACTTTTCATTTTATGAAAGATCATAAACTACTGAAGATGCTTGCCCACTTGATAGAACATAAAATTCGTTTCTGTGATGCCAAGCAGAGTTGAGAAATTGTCTTCTCAACAGGTGCAAAATGTCTGTAGTCAATTGCTCTCAAACCTGAACGTATTTATGAACATGTGAAGTAAACATGCTCTTAGTTCAGTCCAACATTAAGACGAGTGAGAAAAGGCAACGAAATACTCAAAAGCAGCCTCGTCATGTTCCCTTGGAAGCAAACCCCTCTACAGTGCTCTCCGCTGAAGGTGCAACGAGAGCCGTTCCTCTCTCAGCCCCTGGATCACTCAGTCCCCCAGGGCCGGGCCGGCTGTAGCTCCCTGGCATGGGAGCCGGGGTAGGGGTGGCTACGTCCACTTACCTTCCTGGGTTACCGACGGATCCAAACCTCCTTCCCTCCTCCGAAGGTCAGGTCTCCCCAGCACGAGTTCTGTCTATCTGTCGTCTTCTCGGGCAGCACCCGGAGGTCCCACCACGCCTGCACCTCATTCCCGCACCTTTAACACCTGTGGAGGAGCCACCCAAGACCCGGCCTCTAACTGGCTACCCCAGCTCCACCTGCTTTCCCCCAGCATGTCTCGACTCTGGAAGACTGTGCTTCCCCCACCGCAACCCCTGCGCTCATTACCCGGAGCGGCTCCCCGTCCATCCGAGTGTGTGAGTGGCCCCCGACACCAGCACCTTCTCTCCGCCCCTGTCCTGTAGCTGGCTGGCTGACCTCGTCTGCTGACCCTGCCTTTTCAGCAGCCACCCCACGCGAGTCCTAGTTTCCCTTCTCGGCTGGGGCAGAGTTGGTGGTTCGACGCGATCACCACGCCCCTGGAAATACCCTGGTCCCTTGTTCCTTTTTCGCTCTGTGACATCTGCCTGGAACAAGCCCACTCTGTTCCGCTCATACAGCTGGGCGTGCGCCGCATCTCAGACGGCCGTTCCACACGCGGGCCTGTCACACTTTCCGAGTTATATGCTTCTCCCGAGATGACTAACTTCCGTCTCCCTCCTCGGATCTCTCCTCCCCACCTCTCGCCCGGGCTCCGAACGCCCGTCGCTTAGCCCTGCTGCTCGTGGCCCTCCGGACGCACAGCGCACGGTCTGCTCGCCGCTTTCCCGGGGCCCTAGCGCGGCAGCACTGGCTGACCTGACCAGACCACGGCACCTCAGAGAAAGGCAACCCCGGCCGTTCAGCGCGCCCGCCCCAAACGCTGCCGTCGTGCTTTCTTCTCTTGCTCACAACCCGCACGCACGCAGGCCACCGGTAACTCTCCTGAGCTCTCTCCCTCCCACACGTGTGCTGGGCCGCACCGACCCTCACAGCCCCCAGCCGCCCCTCTCCCACGCAGGCCGCCCGCCCCAGCCAATCCCCTCAGGGCGGCGGGCTCGCTGCTCCCGAGGCTAGAGCACGTCACGTCACGCGCCCTCCCCCAGCGAAACCTGCCAAGGGCGCCTTCGCTGTCACCGCGGCAGAGTGAAGCCTCAGGCGCCGCTGGGCTCCACGAGGCCCGGCCCTGCCCGGGGGGCCCGGGCCCTTCAAGCCCCCCACCGGCGCGCGACACCCCCGAAGCGCGTCTGCCTGCTGCTGGTACACATGCCCCTGGAGGGCTTCCCCAGCTCACCGCCTCCACCACCGTCACGCTCCGTGGCACTCCTCCACTTCACTCTCTTCGCCGCCCTTAGCAACACCCAAAGCCCATTAAAAAATACACTCGTCGTCTGCCTCCCCCGTCAGAATTTACGCTCTTTGAGGGCAGGGCCTTGCTGTCTTGGTCACGACCGTAGCCTCAGACGCTCGCACACACTAGCCGTTTATTGTATTTGGTGAACGCCTGCCCATCAGATCATAACCTTTTCTGCGAGCAGGGAATGTGCTCTGGTTTTGGGGTTTCCTCTCCCGCACCCAACAGAAGTGTGCATATGCCGTGGAAACAATGTAAAATGAGGTGGAGGGTCCATCCTCTCTCGTGAAGTGTTACAGAGCGGCCACGTCTCCCCTGACTGCCCACCACTGCACTCCCCTGGACGGTGCCCGCCAGCCAGACATACCGTAAGAAGGATGCACGCAGTCCTGGCTTCGACCCCGCACCCCGCGTTTCACCGGGAAGCACAACTCGAGGCTGCCGTGCTCGGGGCTGAAGGGGCCACGGGCTGCTGTTCTCTCACGACTTTACTGCCCCCAAACACAGCTGGGGAATCCCCACAAAGCAAAACTTCCAAAGCAGTTTACCTTGAATAAAGACTCATCAAGGGTACGTCCAAGCACAGTATTTTTCAAGCTGCAAACCATGAAATCACTAGTGTTTCCATTACTCACACGTTGTTTCAATGAAATTACAGAAAATAGCAGCACACACTGTAGTAATCAGTGAGTAATAATACTCACGTGTGTGGAGGTACTAGGTAGTGCTACAAGATCTATTTCTTACTGTGGGTAAATGTTTTCAAGAGGGTAAGTCAGTCTCTGGCCTAGAGTATTATTTTCACATGTTTTTATTCCATTAAAAGCAAAACAAAATCTAAATCCATACTCAGAGAACAGAATACACTTATTTAAAGTTTTGACAGTGTGCAAAATTAAAGTTTGGGTATTTAATCCAAACTTTAACATGAGTATTATCTTGTAAAGCGATTCCTTCCCTTTAATTAATAAATAATACATTAAAATATATATTATTCTGGAAGCAAATCATCTCCTAACTCTTCATCAGCAAAATCATCCTCGTCGACTCTCTTTTTGGCTGCAGTTCTGGGTCTTTCTATTTGCGGGCCAAGCGGATCCACATAGGAGGCGTCTAGGTTTCAGAACAGATGGTTGCATTAGAGGAACAGGGAAAAACAGCAAATGTGAAACCAATGAGGCTCATCTTCAAAACTGAACAGCCCAGAATGAAGAGAAACGCTCTCCCAAGTCATGTAAAACTTCTGTCTGTGCTGGAAAACCCTTAATAACGCCCAGGTGGACGCATCTGCCTGCCCCTTCCAGTCCAGACCTGCCAGGCCCGGGCACTTACCTAGCTCCTTGTTACTGCTGCTGTCGTAAGGCTCCTCTGTCCTGGGCAGGGCTCGCAGCTGGGCGCTGAGCCGCTCGCCTCTGCTACCAGCACCACAGTTCTGGCCACTGTCTGGAGACACAGGAACAAAAACACATGTGTTCAGCACGCTGGGCAACATCACGCTGCATTACAAATCTTAAAGTCTACTTATTTGTCAAGAAGCAGGAAGGCTGTTTCATTTGACAGCCAATTTCCAAAGGATGTAATTCTTGTTTTTTGAAATTTAAAAGGAATCTCTTGTTGGGAACCTATAATATAGTCAAAGCATCACTCAAGAGTAGGCTTTATCAGACCCTTTCCACCCATGTGCTTGGAGACACTGGCGAACACCCCCTGGCGTGGAGTAGGGCAGCGGGTGGGGGGAAGGGGCTGGGTCGTCACCCACGTGGAGCCTGGGAGCCGTCAGAGGCCTGGGCAGGTGAGGGGTGGGAGAGGCCAGGCGAGCCTGCCCCAGGCACCGCCCCCCCAACTCTTCACAGGCCTGGAGAACGAGTACAGAAGGGGTCAGATGTGCCCGGCAGAGGAGGATAGATTCTGGCCCAATTTAAGGAAAAACCTTAAAAGGATTATAGAGTCCAAATATGGAATGGAAATAGTGCATAAGAGACGTTCACACCCAAGACAGAATAAAAATTAGACTGAAAAACGCAATAAACCATTAAGTATCACATGCGGTAAATGACCAACAATTTTAACACAAAACCTTCAAAACCCAGTACACGGAGTCAGTCAGCAAACCCGCTGTCCCCCAAGGGCAGATGGGGCCGCAGGAGAGGCCACCTGTCCGGCTCCCGGCCTCGGGAACACGCTGTCCCTCTCGCCCCTCATCCCCGCGTACGCTACGGGGCGGCCATGTGGACCCTGAGCTCATGGAGCTGAGCTCTGCCTGTGCACATGGATTTAATTGTTTTTCTCAACTGATGTTTTGGCACCGAGCTGTTAAAACCTGAAGCCAAAATTTTGCATTTAAGGGTAATGCCTTTTTTATTTCAAGTACTTAAAACAAGTTCATTTCATTTTAAGCTTATTCTGTAAAAAACAAACTAAAGTACTGAAAATCCTGCA